ATTGAAAGGAAAACCCTTCTGCTTGTTGGTAATAATTATATAAACAACTCTCTTCAACCCCATGAGTTGTGAACAGCTGGAGCAACAGCAAGTGTGTTCATTACAATTCTTTGGTTACACAATCTGCCTTTTTGAACTCATTCCCTCTGAAGCTTTGTAAACTATCCCTCCCTTCTATCCAAACCCTTTCCCTTTGTAAATCCCTTGACCTTCTACCCAAGCACTATGATCCCCAACCCCTGTAAGCGATTGTACACCATCCTCCTCTTCCAAATCAAAACCCTTCAATCCAAGCCCCCGAGACTGATATGCACTGCTTCCCCCTTACAAGATCACATCCCTTTGTTCCAGGCCAGAGGGAGGCTGATACTCACTCCTTCCTATTAGCTGCGATGTTTGACAGCATCGAGTTCCCTGAGAAGAAGGTGACGACGCCCACCATGAACAGATAGCGGAGGGTGGTGAACATGTCTAGTTGGAGCCAGAACAAGCAGAAGAGTCCCATAATAGCTGTTAAAAAGGGGGAAAAAGAATGATGTCAATATAAAAGGAAAAATACATATATAAATGGGAAATTAATTACAATAATGGCAAATTTTCCAGGGTGTTTTTGCTAAATTTTAAATCAAATAATTACTCCAAAAGGTATATACATTTTCAAGTAGGTAACAGTATATACACACAGCTAATATTATTCTAGTATGATAATTTGGATCCTGAGAGTATTTACTCATACAAATTCAGTGAGTGAAGAATGAATGTAAATCCATTTTTATATCACTTCTTACCTGCAAGACCAACGTGGAATACAACTGCTGACAAAGATACAGGGAAATTGGCGAGGTTTACGCCAAGCTTTGCCCACTGTAATAAGAGACGGCATTGTAAAATAGACTTATAGAAAATAAGGCTTTGATTTTGAGTATGATGAGTTTGTGTAATATATATGCCTGCATGCATATATACACACTTTTAAATTAATCTATTTTTTTCACATGATTTCTTGATATAACAGTAATTATCTCACTATTTGCAATATGGAGCACAAAATATGCAGATACAAGTATCACTGCCCCCCCACTCACCATGGCCAAGAGCAGCAACAGAGGCACTAGACACAACATGGTGAAAGTCAGGGACACAAGGGTAGAGGGACGAGGGTCGGGCTTGCGGAACTCGTGCTGGATCTCTGGACGAGCCTGAAACCACCAATATAATTAAGAGAAGCCATTGAAAGCAAAGAATTCTACTCTTCTTGGAAACTATGCCTGCAAGTTTTTTTTCTGAACATTTTCTGGGCTGGTTCTTGTACACTTTGAAATCTATTTCAAAAATATACTCTAAATCAACACATGATATTGAATACCAATTATTCAGTAAACCCATTACTTCCACATTATCAAATTGTAATTCCAACAAATACGTAAGACTTCCAATATTCACTATAATTGCAACCAACATTTAAAGCTTTAACTCAATCTTTTCATGTCCCTTCCCTCTTACTCTACATAGAAAAAGAGTAACTTTATATCGCAAATAATTAATAAACAAATCAAAGAAAATAAACATACAATATTATGGAACAAGAAAAAATCTTCTATTAACAACCAAAAGCAATAATCCAACCTTATAAGTGTAGTCCTGGGATGGGGTAGACACACTGCCCTCAGGGAAGGAAAGGGAGACATCCCCAATATGCCACAGGGTTGGGTTGCTGATGGACGCATCACCAATGATCAGCTCCATAGAGTATGAGCCACTAACTCCACCAAACTCCTTGACGTTATTGCTGACATCCTTTAGAGAGGAAGAAAGAATGGGTGTTAGCAATTTCCAAGTAAAGCTGAATTTGTTTGTTTGTAGCACGATTAAACGAAAATACCAACATTAACATTTAAATTTCAGTATTAAGCATTAGAAACGGCAAACCAGTTACCAGATACAAAGGAAACTACTAACCATATCAAACTTGTAGACGTCATTTGAGTCTGTCTCGGCCACAAATATAATTTCACGCTTGGACTCAATGTGTGTGATTTTGACGAAGGCTTGATGGACCTCAGTTGAACGCCCTGATGCTAGGTCCCGCACGATGAAGCGCAGCAACACGCGCTGGTGCTGGTCGGCTACAAGTTCACTGGGTAGCTTATTAGGGTAAGTCAACCTGTGAAGAAATTAAAAATCAAATGTTGCTTTTACATAACTGAGGTCATAAAGTACTAAAGTTGTTTTCACAATAGCCTTTTTTCATCACCTTCCCACTTTTTGTAATTAGAAAAAAAAAATATTAATTTTATTCCTAATTATTCATGAATCCAAATGTTTGAAATGTACTCCTACTTTACTTGTAGCCTTATAATCATTCAAAAAATTTAACTCAAGCAATATAACCCTTGAACAAACATTTCATAAGGATTTCTTTGAAAAATTATAAAACACAGATTAAATAAATAAAATATAAGAGGACGTAGTCCTGACAATTCAAACACTTAAACCAACGTAAAACAACCCTGGCTACTCACTTCTGCAGGCTTGGGGCTGTGGAGCGGTCGGAGTCAGCTGTTCCCACCTCGACACCCTGGATATCAATGGCTGTGAGAACCTTGAAGGTAAGCTGAGCAGCCATGTGACCAACCAGGCGTGAATCCGAGGTGACGGTGCTCACCACCAGGCGGTAAAAGCCTCGCTCTGGCTGGCGGGACATCACATCAAATTCATACACTCCGCTGTGGAAAAGGAAGGGAATCTTAGATATGGTACTGAAAGACAATTTAGTAAACACTTGCTTCCTATACCTACAAGTATCACTTTTCCATACAACAATTTCAACTTATCCTCTGCTAAAGTGTGTGATACAAATAACCTGCAAAACTTACTCTTGGCCAGCAAGTGGAGACAATTCCTCCTTGGACACTATGACAACCTCATCCGAGTCACGCGTGGCAGAATCTGCAACAACGCGTAGGGAACCAAGACTGCTGCCCTTCAGGTCTGTTACACGTACCTTAGGGAGTAGGGACAGAAGAATGAGAAGCAGGCCAAAATTACTGATGACAACACAATATCAGTATTAATGTATGAAGAGATGACCATATTATAAAAGCATCACTAAGTAATAAAAACAATTACAATAATAAAAAATTAATATACAACTTTTGACAACAGTAAAAGATTAAAAAGTGCTGTTACCCCAAAGGACATACCTGGACACGAGGAGCATCAGCACTAACTGCTACATTACTGGCCAGTGTGATGGCAACTGGGATATGGAACCTACAAAAACAGTAATGAAATAATCAGTAACAATGGTGATGAAACAGTAAAGAGATCTATCACGTCATGTACATAGTGTTATTACTTTATTTCTATGCTTATCTTACCCCATAATATTTTAACATAAGTTAGTGGTAAGTTATCCTGAACCCTTTACACTACATAAACACATATCAACAGCTCTGTTGTTCCTTATAATGAATGAACTGGCCATGTTTTCTATTATATTTTGATTTTCCTTGCAAACAGAACCAATTAATGATATTCTTAAAAAATTGCCACCACATCCTCACCTGTTGCTGGTGAACATGGACACAGCTTCCAAGAGGTAGTAGACCCCCTTGGGCACCTGCACAGACTTGCGCGACATCAGGTAATTGGCAAACTTGACGGCTTGGTCAGGCTTGATTGGTGGAGCCTTGTTTGAATTCTCAGCCAGTTTGTAGGCACCACTTAAGACCAGGGCTGGGGACGGAAGAGGCAGAGTGAGTGGGTGAGTGTGTGGCCTAAGAGTAAGCCAGTGAATGAACAGGGAATTGGTTTGAAATGGTAAAGCTTAAAAATACGAGAGAATCTTCATACTATTCGGAGTACTACGAATTCTTAAAATCCAAGAGTCAAGGGTATATCTAATAACAAATTAAGAGTGATAACTAAGAGGGGGTGGATTCAACTGACCAGTTATTGATAATCCTCCTTCAAATTGCAGCATCCGCCCATCAACTTCATCTGCCTGAACTATAGCATCCTCAATCCTCTCGAAGATGCTGCTGACTTCCCCACGGAGCTGAGACCCAACGTGGAAGGCATAGCCCAAGCTGTAACAAAAAAAATCATCTTTAATAAAATTTTATATAACATCAACCTTCAATCCATTTCATTTTTCTCTCATCACACATTCTCAATTCCCTTACATGCATCACAATTTCCCATTCTCTTTCACTGTAAGCAAATGACATCTCACTCACCTGAGGACGCTGTCATCCTTCTTCAAAGCCATCTGTGTGGCCCTCAAGACCTTGGCAACATCTACCTCAACCCCGAGATTTGTGGCGGCAGTGACAGCATGGAAGAGCTCCAGGGGAGAGGCCCCTTCTCGGATGGCATCACTTACAGCCTGTATTCATGTGCAAAAGAGATGTATTAATCTATAAATAAAACATTAAAGTGTAAGTATATGGATATCTACATTTTTGTGTAATCTATTTATACATATATAAGCAGGTGAACATAAAGGAACAAAAAATCTGTATTCCATATGCATAGCCGTAGTATATAATACTTTTCTATATAGAACCCTATTTTAAAAAGAAAAAGATCATAGTATCATGATCTACTATAATCTAGCAATATTTTTTTTCTTATGCCATAAGAAAAAATTACTTTTTGACAAACCAATATTGTATTAAATCTACATGTAAGAAGCACATGACTACAAACATAACAGGATTTCTATCATCTTCGCTTCCATCCTAAAAACATCTATGCCATTATGCCTCATACATATTAACAAACCTGCTTGGAGGCTGCAGTGGCTGCCACAGGGCACCCAAGTGCTTTGCCGGCTGAGGAAGCCAAAAACAGAGTTTCGACTGTTGCTCCATCACCAGCAGAGCTCTTGACGAAATTGCAAACTCCCTGAAAAAGGAAACAAAACCACATATATCAAGAGTTTATACAAGGTTCGTAACTAGCTCTTCTACTTTAACAACATATTTGAAAAAATCCTACTACCTATATATACTCATTTTGATATGCCTTTTGCTGAATATCTATTATTTAGTTTGGGCTATATTGACAAAAATATTACAAAAGTAGGAATAAACTTTAAACCTAAGCCTAATATACAAACACACCAACTACTGGAACCAACCTGTTCATTGGGGATGGGCTGGCCTAAGTGCTTGTAGCCTGCTGAAGCATAAAGGACTTGTGCGAGGTCTGAGAGAGACCACGCTGGGTCTAGGACTAGCTTCAGCCTCTCCTTGTCAGCTGGGGTGAGGTATGTGGAGGGGGAGAGGGCAGAGCTCACCCCCAGGAGAGCAAGGATTACCAGTGCCCCTGCAAGGAAAGACAGAAAAGCAACTAAGTACAGAAGTAAATAAATATTGAGAAACCCTATATAATATACTCAATTGCCTCTTTGCTTAAAAAAACTGAGGACATGACAATAATTAATACACAATAATCATTTAAAAACTGTTTGACAATTTCTAATAAAATAACTTCAACTTCCTGTGGGATATCAGGGTACTGAATGGGGGAGGGAGACAGTGTTTAAAACATTTAATATAGAAATATAAATTGATTTTCTTATAATGCAACAGCTGCATGTACTTCTGAACCTTACAGTACTATGGTACTGTGGTCAAAACACATTTCTCCACATTCTTGAATTGGTTCAACAAATGTAGAAAAAGGCACAATAGTGAATTTTAGACTGACCGCATAACTCGTTACTGCAATATGCCAAGTAGTTTTTGTAGTACTAAACACTTACCAAAAGGATATTTTGGTAATTATCGGTGTTTGCTTTTCCATAGTTAAGCTTTTAACTTGTCATTTTAATATCATTATACTTCCTTTTTGGGTTTTAAGATTTGTTTATACAGTTCTGTACAATAATCTAATACGCATGCACATTTTCATGACAGGGTTTTTTGACAGTGCCGGTAGTCTCTATTCCTTGACAAGCACCGGTAGAAAATGTTTTGTTTTTCAGCGTTATATCGAGTCTGGGTTATTCTAAAGACTATACAGTGGCAATGAAGGAAGAATATACATTTGTACGCATCCTAGTTTGATTTCTGAGCTCAACAAGTGTCCCACATGACCATGGGGGGTCCAGAGGGTGTAGCCTCATGGATAGGGGCACACCAGAGGGTTGTAGCTCTGGCTAGGGGCAAACCAGAGGGTGTAGCCTCTGGCTAGGGGCACCACACCGAGGTGTCGCCTCCTGGCTAGGGGCCACACCAGAGGGTGTAGCCTCCTGGTATGGGCACAACAGAGGGTGTAGCCTCCTGCGCTAGGGGAACACCAGAGGGTGTAGCCTCCTGGCTAGGGCACACCAGAGGGTGGAGCTCCTGGCTTAGGGCACACCTAGAGGGTGTAGGCTCCTGGGCTAGGGGCACACCAGAGGGTGTAGCCTCCTGGCTAGGGGCACACCAGAGGGTGTAGCCTCCTGGCTAGGGGCAACACCAGAGGGTGTAGCCTCCTGGCTAGGGGCACACCAGAGGGTGTAGCCTCCTGGCTAGGGGACCACCAGAGGGTGTAGCCCCTCCTGGTAGGGGCACACCAGAGGGTGTAGCCTCCTGGCTAGGGGCACACCAGAGGGTGTAGCCTCCTGGCTAGGGGCACACCAGAGGGGTGTAGCCTCCTGGCTAGGGGGCACACCAGAGGGTGTAGCCATCCTGGGCTAGGGGCAACACCAGAAGGGTGTAGCCTCCTTGGTTAGGGGCACACCAGAAGGTGTAATCCTCCTGGCTAGGGGCACACAGAGGTGTAGCCTCCTGGCTAGGGGCACACCAGAGGGTGTAGCCTCCTGGCTAGGGGCACACCAGAGGGTGTAAGCCTACTAGGCTAGGGGCAACACAGAGGGTGTAGCCTCCTGGCTGAGGGGCACACCAGAGGGTGTAGCCTCCTGGCTAGGGGCACACCGATGGGTGTAGCCTCCTGGCCTAGGGCACACCAGAGGGTGTAGGAGGGTGTAGCCTCTGGCTAGGGGCACACAGAGGGTGTAGCCTCCTGGCTAGGGGCACACAGAGGGTGTAGCCTCTGGCTAGGGGCACACAGAGGGTGTAGCCTCTGGCTAGGGGCACACAGAGGGTGTAGCCTCATGGCTAGGGGCACACAGAGGGTGTAGCCTCCTGCTAGGGGCACACCAGAGGTGTAGCCTCCTGGCTAGGGGCACACCAGAGGGTGTAGCCTCTGGCTAGGGGCACACCAGAGGGTGTAGCCTCTGGCTAGGGGCACACCAGAGGTGTAGCCTCCTGGCTAGGGGCACACCAGAGGGTGTAGCTCCTGGCTAGGGGCACACAGAGGGTGTAGCCTCTGGCTAGGGGCACACAGAGGGTGTAGCCTCCTGCTAGGGGCACACCAGAGGGTGTAGCCTCCTGCTAGGGGCACACCAGAGGTGTAGCCTCCTGGCTAGGGGCACACCAGAGGGTGTAGCTCCTGGCTAGGGGCACACAGAGGGTGTAGCCTCCTGGCTAGGGGCACACCAGAGGGTGTAGCCTCCTGGCTAGGGGCACACCAGAGGGTGTAGCCTCCTGGCTAGGGGCACACCAGAGGGTGTAGCCTCCTGGCTAGGGGCACACCAGAGGGTGTAGCCTCCTGGCTAGGGGCACACCAGAGGGTGTAGCCTCCTGGCTAGGGGCACACCAGAGGGTGTAGCCTCCTGGCTAGGGGCACACCAGAGGGTGTAGCCTCCTGGCTAGGGGCACACCAGAGGGTGTAGCCTCCTGGCTAGGGGCACACCAGAGGGTGTAGCCTCCTGGCTAGGGGCACACCAGAGGGTGTAGCCTCCTGGCTAGGGGCACACCAGAGGGTGTAGCCTCCTGGCTAGGGGCACACCAGAGGGTGTAGCCTCCTGGCTAGGGGCACACCAGAGGGTGTAGCCTCCTGGCTAGGGGCACACCAGAGGGTGTAGCCTCCTGGCTAGGGGCACACCAGAGAGTGTAGCCTCCTGGCTAGGGGCACACCAGAGGGTGTAGCCTCCTGGCTAGGGGCACACCAGAGGGTGTAGCCTCCTGGCTAGGGGCACACCAGAGGGTGTAGCCTCCTGGCTAGGGGCACACCAGAGGGTGTAGCCTCCTGGCTAGGGGCACACCAGAGGGTGTAGCCTCCTGGCTAGGGGCACACCAGAGGGTGTAGCCTCCTGGCTAGGGGCACACCAGAGGGTGTAGCCTCCTGGCTAGGGGCACACCAGAGGGTGTAGCCTCCTGGCTAGGGGCGCACAAGGGGCTTTTGGTGGCATTATGGCTGTAGATTTTATTGAGAGACTGGCTGGATGCCCGTAGAGTTTTTTGAAAGTTGGTGGGTTGGCCCACAGGCTTTCAAAGATGGTGGGCGTGTCCGTAGAGTTTGACAACGCGGTTTTCATTGTTTTTCACTGTTTTTAGGCTTTTTTGTTCTGTATTAATTCTATTTCAGCCTGTTTTACCCCACAATTTCCCTGATATACTTCATGCCCTCCCCTACTATCAGGACTATCAAATCAAGAGTGTCAATGGAGACGGTGATCATATCTCCTCAATGATTCATTTGCATAAGGAACAAGACCTAGAATCATTGAAAGCAGTGGATTTAATTAAAAAAAAATAACTTCTACATATTTTTTCAGGAAGAGGAGCCCCTGATAAGGAACTACAGCAATTGGATGGGGATATGTAAGGTTTTTGATTCATGCATTACAGATTGTGGATTTTCCAGGAGTGGCTGGAGTAATAGGTACTTAAGTCTTAGCAGGGGGTGGTCACTTTGTAAACAATACCAATATTTTCATTAGTATCATTTGTATAGGAAATGCCAAGAGATTCATCCATATTACAATGTAAGTAATGCAAACAAGAAATAACTGCAAGGTTGGATGACTATGTGAATCTCAAAAATTGTCAAGTCCACTTGGCATTTTTCAGAATACAGAAGGCAGGATGTTTCTATTATGGATAACTAACAATTACAAGACAGCTGCCAGTCTATCATTCAAATGTACATCTTCAGCACCAGCAAACCTCACCAATTACTTTCTTGCAAAGTAATTTTTTCTTTGGCCTTTCAGTATTTGTTACCGAGAGTGACAAACTCCAGAGGGTAAAACTAACCTTTGGTAATTGTTACCAAGGGTGATGTATTGTCCAGAGACCATGTGTCCCAAAACCAGACTACCATGCAAACCCAAAATTCCAAACCTAACTTTTCCAACCTTCAATAATTTCCCTAGACAAGGGGAGTAAGCCCCCTCCCCCCTATATCCCATTTTATTGGCACTTTCTGCCAAACTACAGAAAATGGACATTAATAACTCTGGCTGTGTGAGGGTGTTGTGGACAGATGCAGCAGATACCTTCATAATTTTGTGGTAAGTATGAGGTCACTGCAGCTGTACCTGTGTTATTTATTACTGTATTTGGTATTTGTTACCGAGGGCAATGCATCCTACACAGATGAAGTCCCAAAATCAGGCTATCATGCAGAACCAAATTTTCAAACCTAACCTTTCCTACCTTCTATGACAAAATGACAAAATACAACATTAACCCCTCAATGACAGTATCAAATCTCTCAAGTGTCACCAACTGACTTCTAGCAACCACCTGCCATTTGGCCCAGGAATAAGCTACATGAGCAGAACTTTCTGCTCAACATTCATGTCACTTATATCCATCTGGCATATCTGACATAGTCAGTCCATTTGTTATAATGGCTATAGGTGTAGCCAGACAGATACTAGTAAAGAACTCTGGCTGTGAGAGGGTTCTGTGGACAAGCAACGGATATTTTCATAACTTTCCGGTTAATAGGTCATTGCAGCTGTATCTGTGTAGTTTATTACTATATTTCTTATGCTCTATAAGATGGTACTGTTCATTTCCCTCTATCTCTGTGCTTTGCTCTTGGGAACATGAACCAGCCTTTTTACATTTAACTGTCAAAATGAAGAACCAGTCCAAGCTCCCACAACATACAAGACCCAAGGACTTCAGTCAGTGAATTTGAACATAAATCA